TTTTTATATCGCTTGAAAAAAAAAAATAGGAGGAGGATCTACCGTGAAATAAGAGAGATAATTAAGGGTTTGTACGATATTTTCCCTGTTTTTTACTTTGTTTTTTAGCCCAATCCAAAATATACACTATTTTCCAACTTACCAAACTTTTTGATAATATATATTCCCCCAACTTTTTACGAATTATTTGAACAAAATTTATTATCTTTTTTGTTGTTGTTAAATATGACAAGAAATAATAATATGTGAATCAATAAAACTACACGAAAAGGATGCTCACCCCTTTTTCATAGACCTTCATCATGCGTACACTTTCAGGTCCACAAAAAACAAGTGAATCCCTCAAACCTTCTACTAACAAGAATCCGAAACCCCCTCCCTCACCTGTTCCCCATCCAAATTATTGTTTTAACTATATTTGAGATAGAGATAGAGGGAACGAGTAGAGAGAGAGAGAACCGTCTTGGGTTTGGTGATAGCCAAATCACCATGCCCATATTTTATTTCAAAAGATTAAGGGTATTATTATAAAAAGAAAATAGATTTTTTTGGGAAGCAAAAAATTGATATTTATATAAAAATTTAAATAAAACATAATACCCAAAGGTGAGGATGGATCTCCAAGATAGAGATAAGTCTCTAACAGAGAGACATGGCATCCGAGAGAGGCAGCATTCCCATGAGTTTTGGGTTGGTTAACTTTCACTTCTAGAGAGATAAAGTATTTTGGTTGCTCTCGAGGTTATTTGGTTGCTCTCGAGGTTATCTTTCTAGTAGTGGTATTGCAGTGAAAAACAAGGTATTGATCGACCGTGTTGCTCGATGGGGAGAGCGAGTTTAAAAGGGAAGATTGGTAACAGGATTTTATTAGATATATGTATATCTTTTGTAACCCAAAACTATAATCTTCATAAAGATAGTGGATTTCTAGTTGCAGAGGCCGTGGACGTAGCCGTACAGGGTGAATCACGTAAATCGTGTGTTGTTGCGTGTGCCTTTTATGTTTGCTTTATTTCTTGTACTCGATTTATAATTGTATTCATCTACTTCACATTTCACCAATGTATACATGATCTTGGAAGGGATCCTAATATTTTGGATTCTCGACTCTGCAAATTAGGGGTTCTCGAGAACCCTACAATTGGTATCAAAGCACAAGGTGTGTACGGGGCTAAGGCTCGCATTGAGAAAAAGAAGAATCTTGAAGTTTGATAGATACAAGGTTTGAGGTGGAAAAATATGGAGGCAAAGTGTTTATGAAAATTCCACAATGGAGACAAGTGTGAAGAAATCAATAAATCTATCAAGTAAAAGTCAGCAAGGCAAATATGATGATTTTAATGAAGGTTGACAAAGCAAATATAGTGATTTTACTATCAAGGTGGAGATTATTAGGTTTGATGATAGTAAAATCACTATACATATGTTTTTATTAAAATATTAAGGGTATTATGAGAAAAATAGAAGGGGTTTCTTGGAAGCACGAAAGAAACACAAATGATCTCTATAAGAAGGGATCAATGATAACAGAATACTCATCCTTTTGAGGGTCACCCCTTTGGGGGTCATTGAAATGGATCTCCAAATATGGAGATTGATCTCCAAGAGAGAGAGACATGGCCTCAAAGAGAAACGGTATTCCTGTGAGTTTTGTGTTGGTAAAGCTTCCACTTATAGAGAGAAAATCTTTATGTTTCTCTTGAAGTAATCTTTCATTGTAGGGTTCTCAAGAACCCTTAATTTACAGAACCGGGAATCTTAAATACCAGGATTCCACCTAAGATCATGTACACATTGGCTAAATGTGAAGTAGATGAGTACAACTATAAATCGAGTGCAATAAATAAAACAAATATAAAAGGCACACCACAACAACACATGATTTACGTGGTTCACCCCATAGGGCTATATTGACAACCTTGGCAACTAGAAATCCATTATCACAATGAAGATTACAGTTTTTAGTTGTAAGAGATATACATTTCTCTAAACATCGATAAAAGACCATCATCGATATTCCATTTTAAACTTGCTCTGGGCATGCCCAAGTGATCTCTCTCAAGCCAAAAGGCATGCCCAAGTCATCTCTCTCTCTTTTCTGTGGCATGCCTAAACTAAAGTTAGCATGTGATGGTTTGATTTTTGAGTAGCAAAGGGGATGATCCCTTTGCTAGTAGATCTCTCATTTTCTCTTTGATTTCTCTCATCTCTCCAAAGATCAAGTCAAAGGGGTTGAGCAAGATTAAGGCATTAAGGCTTTATGTAGTTGGTTTTAAATCAAGATCCATATGTCATTGAGAGGGTTTTGCTATATGTAGAAGAATCAAAAGATTGATCATAGATCCTGAGCACCATCAGAAAGAGGAGATTCAGTGTGGGTGTACTAAGGACGGTTGAGGTAATCTCTGGTAATTTTACTTTTTTAAATGTTTATTTGTGATTTGATCTTCTATTCCCATAAATCAATGAGCTAATTTTTTGATTTAATGAATTGTATTCAATTGTAGTAGCAATTGAAAAATGTGTTTATTTTATTTTATTTATTTTTTTCAAGAGTTATTTGTTTGTAATTGGATATTGTGAGTCTTACCAATGTAGGAATAAGAAAAATAAGAAAAATTTAATTTATATACACCATGCTTGATCACATAGTCCAACTTTCACTTTCTCTCTCTAAAATTTGATATACATTCTCTCTCTAAAATTTTAAGATGTTTTCTCTATCTAAAACTTAAAATTTGGGACAATTTATCTCTCTATAAATTTTCAGATAGTTTCTCTCTATAAAACTTAATATAGTTTTGATATCTAAAATTTTAATATACTTTTTCTCTCTAAAACTTAAAATTTAAGATTGTTCCTCTCTCTAAAATTTTTAAGGTAGTTTCTCTTTAAAATTTGATATAATTTCTCTGTAAAAAACTTAAGATTTGAGATAGTTTCTCTCTCTAAAAAATTTGAGATAATTTCTATCTCTAAAATTTTTTAGTTATTTCTTTAAAATTTAATATAATTTTTCTCTCTAAAATTTTAAGATGCTATCTCTTTCTATCTAAAATTTTCATGTACTTTCTCTTTTTAGAATTTGATATAATTTCTCTCACAATACAATAAGCATTGTTGCTGGATTTATTGAAAGTTTCGACAAAAAATTGTCAAGTATTACTCTAAGGAAATTTGTTTCATGCAGCGGGGACTTGATTTCTACATTTGCGGTCCAAATGTTTTCTTAATATAATTTTTATTTATAATATATATAGTGTTATTATTATTCTTTTCATATGCACGATCTCCCTCTTAGAGATCACATGTACTTAAACATTTCCAAAAATCCATCTCAAAAATAGTTTTTTAAGAGGTGACTCATTTCTACACGGACTCATAGAAACCGTGTCCTTATTCTAATGACACTAATAATACTACAAAAGTATTGTTTAATGGCTTTAATAGATTAATAATAGATGCAAATCATAATCCTATATTGTGTCATATTTGTATATCCGTTTTTTTCCACTACAGTTTTTTGTATCAAATCCGAAATATTCACGATTTTATAATTGTTTTTAATTTTTGAGGATCCGTATTTTTGATTTGATTTTTTCCTTCGACTTTTTAAAATGAAATCAATTTATTATCGATGTTTTATTGTGTCACTATTTTATGGAAAATTTTTTCATGCGGGATGGACCGTATGACTACATATGCGGTTCAAAAAGTGTAAAGCATCCATCTTAAAGATGGATGCAAGTAGGTGTTCAATCTAAAAACAATGGAAACTAGAATTATTATTTCTAGCTTTCAAAATTTATTTATTTTTTCATAGTCTTAATTCCATATTAGAGATTACATGTCCTTAAAAATTAAGTCAAAAACTCCATCTCAAAAATAGATTTACTAATAGGCCCGCATTTCTACATATGTGGGCTTGGTCGCATAGAAACTGGGTCCATATTTTATTATGGAGAATAGTTTCATGTGGGCTGGACCGCATTTCTACAATATGCGGTCCGGAGGTATAAAACATCCATATTAAAGATGGATGCAAATAAGTGGTCCATCTAATAACTAACGGTCCAAATGTTGTTTCTTAATATAATTATTATTTTTAATTTTCAATTTTTTTTTTCATATTCATAATCTCCATGTTCGACATTATATATTCTCTAAAAATTGGAATGAATTATATTCTTAAAAAAATATTTATTGCCAAGCCTGCATTTCTACAATATGCAGGCTGGCCGCATGGAAACCGTGTCTTTTTTTTATATGGACCTGCTTTCTATACGGGCCCAGCCCGCATATGTACAAATGCGGGCCTATTAATCTTTAAGGACCTGTAATATCTAACTTGGAGGTCATGAATATAAAAAATTAAATAAATTTTAAAAACTAAAAATAACAATTTTAGCAAAAAAATATTTGGAGTTTTAGACCGTTAATTTCTATCATTTTTAGATGCAACAGCTACTTGCAACTGCGGTTCAGCCCGCATGAAACAAACAATGGTAAAAAGCGGATGCACTCAAAACGCTTCTCAATATCCCCGCCTTTGCTAACTATGGTAAAAAATTTAAAATTTAAACCCCGATGCACGTACAATACTGTCCCTCTTTAACCCATTCGGCTGCATTGACACACCGCTCTCTCTCGAGCCTTCTGTCTCTGCAAGTGTCCTATCAATTACCAAAGCACGCGAAATATCGACCAAAGCAGGCGAAATATCGGATACTTACTATATTTTTGAGTTTCGGTGTTTCTTACAGAGGAGGTGCAAAGAGAGGGCAAGGAAAGGTGTCCTATCAATTACCAAAGCACGCGAAACATCGGATACTTCCTATTTTTTTTGAGTTTCGGCGTTTCCTAGAGAGGCGGTGCAAAGAGAGAGAGAGGAGGGAAATAGGAGTGTAATGGATAGAAAGAGGAGAGATATTAGAGAGCAGAGAGAAAGAGGGATATCTGGAGAGTAGAGAGAAGCAGATGGGTATGAGAGAGAGAGATGAGTGAGAAAGGAGAGGTGAGAGAGGAGAGAGAAAATAGGATAGAGAGGTGGGGCTTGAAAGAGACGAGGAAGGAAGCCATTTTCACGAAAGAGAAAAGTAGGTTTTATATTCTGTTCAATTTTTTTTGAAAGTTTATATTCTACTCAAACCATTAGCCAGAACAAGAGGGACAATACTTTGTTAAATTTAGAGGTTCTACAGGCTGCTGAGCTTCACACAGAGAGCGATTTGAAAGAGTGGATCACTGCTGTTGTGAAATTGGAGGTTGATGAAGATGGAGGAGCAGACGTTCATTTTAAAGCCTTTCAGGTAAGCTTTTCAAGGAAGACTGGTTTGTGAAGGAGGTTGGGGATGTCGATCCAAAGCTTTCGCTCATGAATAAAGAGGTCGTCATATTGGGAATGGATATCAAAGAAGTGGACAATGATTTCTTTCGGGTTCCTGTCAAGATTTTGGATCACCAGGTATGGAATATCATTATTTTCCCACTTTTATTTTAATTCCATCTCTTTTTGCATGCAGGTATGGATCTAAATTTTTCTGATACTTCCATTATCTATGTAGTTTATTAGTTTGGGCTTCGTCGTTGGGTTTCGATTTTCTCACTCTATAATGCAGTGATTTAACCGGTCAGATTCCTATGAAATTGGCAACTGTCAATACCTCGGGCTTCTATAAGTTTGTTTTCCTTAGTTTTTTTATCTAAAACGTTGACCCCATTTTGCTGCGGTATTTTATATAGTTTGGGCTTCGTCATTGGGTTTTGATTTTCTCTCTCTATAATGCAGTGATTTAACCGGCCAGATTCCTATGAAATTGGCAACAGTCAATACCTCAGGCTTCTATAAGTTTGTTTTCCTTAGGTTTTTTTTGTCTAAAACGTTGACCTACCCCATTTTGATGCGTTATTTTATATAGTTTGGGCTTCGTCGTTGGGTTTTGATTTTCTCTCTCTATAATGCAGTGATTTAACCGGTCAGATTCCTATGAAATTGGCAACTGTCAATACCTCAGGCTTCTATAAGTTTGTTTTCCTTAGTTTTTTTGGTCTAAAACGTTGACCCCATTTTGATGCGTTATTTTATATTGTTTTCCTTGGTTTTTTTTTCTAAAACCTTGACCCCATTTTGATGCGTTATTTTATATGTAAACAACTTACAGCATGGTTGGTTAATATCATATAATTGCGGATCCTATATGGGAAAATAGAGTGGCTTAGGGGCAGAGCAATTAAATAACTTACCAATTAGAGACATTCGTATTAATCTTCAAGTAATGTTAAAGTCACTTGTTTAATTTTTCTGGGTTTTAGTCTCAAAAGACATTTTCATATAGCAGACCTAAAAAATTGTATTTGTTTTTTTTGTTTTTTATGAGACGAGCACGAAGGCTGAGAATTTTTCAGATCGGGTGTAGATCCACCTAGATCCAGATCCAGATCTAAAAAGATACATTGGATTTGGATCCCATTAGATCCAGAATATTCAGATTCGAAAATTATTTATAGGATCCGGATCCGGTCAGTTCTAATTTTGTCTATTATAAAGTGAAAATATAATTATAAAAGTTAAAATAATTATATACAAGAAAATTACACAATGAGACCATTTATATATTATATATAAATAAATAAATATAAATTATAAAATTTAAAATAATTATATATAAGAAAATTATACAATGAGACCATTTATATATATTATATATAAATAAATAAATATAAATTATAAAATTTATGTATATACATATAAAATAATATATATCATTTTAAAAAATTGGGACGGATCCGAATCGGATCCACCTATACCAGAATGTGATTGGAATTACTATTTGGATCTAGATTTTGGATCCTGATCTAATTTTTAATCCAAATATTGGATCTATATCCGGATCAGGATAGGACCCGAATTTCGGGTTTTCAGATCCAGACAGAGCAAATCCTTATGCCTAGTCACAAACCATTCCCCTAACTATTTGGATTGCTAAAAACTATTAATTTGAAGTTCTTGTGTTTTCAAATTATGATGTGGGTGTGCCATAGACCTTTCAAATCTCAATTATTAATAAAAACTAGAGGTAGTGTCAGCTCATTCGTGTTTTTTTAGCAACTTATTTGGTTGATTTTAACATTCTTTTGGATTTGCCTCAGTCCTAAGTCAATGGCTTTTGATCACAGAATGAGATTAAGACAATTCATTTTATTGAACCATTTCATGTGTTACAACAGTTCTCTTTCTTCTCTAAAAAGTACATATATATTCTGGTTCCTATGGTAGCTAATTTGCTACTTTAGCTTTCCAGAGATGCGTCATATGATACTGCTCTCGGACTCCCTTTTGTGTTAACTAATCTTTGTGGAGCTTTATTTTCGATCTCGAAATTTGAAATTTAGTAGATACTGTCTATAATGCAAGATCAAACTTTTGGATTAGCACATACACTAATTGACTTCATGCCCTTTGTTTTTTCTTCTAGGATAAATGATTATACTTTGAAACGTTATTTGAAAGCCGACGTAGAAATAAACAACATTGCTACAGAGGATGATATCACTGAGAATCTTCCATCTATTCCATCTGGATGCTCCATTCCTGTTGTGCATATCGATACAGAGCTGCTTGAAAATGAATCTTTGTAACTTCTCAATAAAGACTCCTATGTAAATAGTCTTTGGACAGCTTTGCCGGTAAGAGTTGGAAATTATTGAGCTTTGGTATGCATTCTGTCATCAATATTCAACGAATATATATATATGTATATATAAAGTTACCTCAAGGATTTCACTTTGTGACTTTGCTTTGCATATTATGGCTCTGTCCTGCCCCGTTCTCCCTCATATTCTATTAATTCAACTAATAACAGTTATCTTGCATTTCATTATTATGGGTAATTTTACTATAATATAGTTCAAGGCCACTAAGGTCATCAACGTCCAATCAAATGACGGAAAGTGGTGGAAGCTGCGGGACCCACCATTAAGGTCATGTTTTGTTTTGAGAGGCCCCACTCTCTCTCCATAATCATCCATAATTTTATTGGCGACAATTCCAGTTGTTTTCCAATATTCAAGTTGATTCTCGGATACTTCAATATTGTATCAGAGTTTGTATCAATGTGGTAGTAAGTTTCCACTACTAACTTTTCAGGTTTTTACAAAGGAGGAACAAGATGCTCTTACAGCAACTCCTGATCATCCTTTGGCTTGTATGGTGAGTCAATCGATCAATGAACATGTTCCCAACATGTCGTAGAGTTTTATTGCTTCTTCCTCTGTCACTGAATTGTTACTTGATAGGGAGATGGGATTTGGACTGAAAATTTACTGAAGAGGACTTTAAAATGTTACGTTGGACGCTTTAAAATTTACTGAAGAGGACTATCAAACTTTAAAATGTTACGTTGGACGCTTTAGTACCATATTTGACTTTGAGCTAATATTATTTGGAAAATGATGGCACTTACCCTCATCTATACTTAAATGTTAAGCAAAGAGCTTTTTCCCTCTGTTGTGGTATTTTGCCAATAGTTTCTGATTTCCTCACCTGAATTAATCTTGATATCAGTTTTGTATGCCAGTTTTCTAGCAGGCAATTTGGTGGAACAGATATGGAACTTTGCTTGGCCCTCTACCATCGCACTCTTACATCCAAGCCTTTAGCCTGTGGTGGTTGTAAGTTTCTCATAAAGGTACGTAACAAGTCTATTGTCTTTATATTGGTCTTTATGAGACTAGTTTGAATCCTTGGATTTTGAAAGGCTCGTTCCTTGGGCTTTTCTGGCTTTTTGGTAAAAACCTTGTAAGATGTCTTGTTGAATGGCCAAAAGTCTTAGTTTCCATCAAAGTTATGCCAATATTTGGATTCAAATATGAAATGCAGCTTGCAATATTTGTTGGAGGCCCCTTGGTTGGCAATTTCTTCATTCCTTTCCTAGATTACTTGCATTCAATTATTTGAGTTTATTGTAGGTAAGGTTCACAACCTTTACAGTATTTAAAGCAAGCCGTTTTTCCATGCCCTTTCATTTGGCACACAACCAGTTTAATAAGGTGCCTGGAGAACGAAGGTTAAACTAGTCGAAATGGTTTTATCAATTTTCTAGCTCGGTAATTTTTGACATACATATGGTGGGGAGCTTTTTGATGCCTATGTTGCTGTCAGACAGCTGCTCAATTATCATCAGCAGCCATGATCATTTATATCCTCAATGCCGCCATGCCTGTCCCCTCTGCGACATCTTTACTTTTCCAACCTTGGTTCATTGTACTGGTATTACTTGTTTTGCAACTGGGATAGCCTTTGAACGAGATTGGGTGGTACTGGTAATTGAAGTTTTCCCTATTAATGTATGTTTTCTAAGGGAATTAATTTTCTTCTGTGTTCTAAATTTTGTTATGTGTATTATATTGCAGTTGTTGAGAACAAATAGGGCAATTGCTTTGGCCCAAGAAAACACAATGCTCAGTCAAATTGATCTTCTTTGCGAGTTGAAGGTCTATTGCACCATGGACTCTATACGTATGTGTTTTTTGTTTTTTTGGAATTTGCACATTACATGCCATGATCAATGATATTTATAGTTAGTTATTAAATTTTGTTGTATAGCTAATTTGTAAGATCCCTTTTGGCGCTTGTGTAATGCTGTTCATCATGCTCACAGATTGCCGGAGCTTCTGTCTTTCGTGTACTTCTGTCCAAGTATGACACAGTTACATGCCTAAAGCTTGCTGCTGGTCTTATGATATTAACACTGCCAGTTCTGGTAATAAATTCTTTTCTTCACCGCATAGTTAAAACAAGGGAGAATATGCTATGGTGCAGTAGACTATGAAACAAATGGTCTAGTGGGATTTGTGTTCATGATTGTCCAGTGAAATGATGGAAGGTGCTGGAGAGAGGGGACCCACAACCGGGATCATGTCTTATTCTTGTAGATCATTTCCATCACTCCCCTCATTTTATCAAATGGCTACGACCCCAAAGGAACTTAGTCCATTGACGGAGATCATTTTATCAAGTGGTTTACATACTTGAGTTGAAGTAACTTAGTTCGTTGATGCAGATCATTTTGCAATTTGTCAAATTGGCAACTATGTTCAATATTACAGGTATTTCTTAATGGGTGCACACCCTAATGTGGGGCATACAGCCAGTTAAAATGGAAAATCTGGTTAGTTTCATATCTTATCATACCGTTCTGGGAATTCAATTCTGATGGGCAACAGATCTGATGGGCATACAGCCAGGCAAAAAAGAAACCCTTGCTTTTCTTTTTGTGTTTAATAATTAGCAAACCCCTCTCTTACTTAATGGTTCATTGTTCATTTCAGTGTAAAACCCTTGCTTTTCTTATTCTCTATGCTAATTTTTGCATGTAATCGCTCTTTCCTAAAAATATTTGCCTCTTCTATGTTGCCTTTGTTATAGGAGAATCGCTACATTAATTTTTTGTGATACTAGATTGATTGAATTTTTGGGAACATTTGGTTGGTATTACTCGCTAAAATTGCCTCACACATGTTTGGTAGGGGAAGAAAGCATATGAATATAAAATCAATGATAAAACATTTTATCATCAAATGATCGAGTTTGCTTGTAAACAAAACCATGCCTCAACTCATGGGGAAGCATTTCTCAGGTTTTATTTTCACATGCAAACTCCCCATTTACAATTCACTATTCACTATTTACAATATAATATATGTTATAAAATATTTTATTTATATATAAAATAATATTTAATTTAATATATAAATAATATATTTGTTTATATTATACTATACTATATAATGTCATATAATATATAATAGTATAATATACATGTAGGAAAAGTACTTTGGTGTTGTAGGCATCCACAGTCTAAATGGGCTCCTATCGGTCCCACAACACTTGAGGGGTTTGGGTTGCCCATTGAGCCGGATTCAAAATTCACTATTCCCATCCTCATCAAATCCACTACTTCCTAAATACGTTCGTATTCCTTCTAATTAGAGTGTATGGAATAATTCATTTTCTTAACTTATGTCCTTTTATAGCTCTAAGATTCTTTCGTTCCGCTCTAACCATGCACCATGAAGGATGACAACAAAAGCTAAATTTCTACGAGTACCCCCTTTTGTGAGAGCATCAAATCTCTAAGGAAACACTCATTGGATGCCTAAGAGTCTAATATATCAAACCAAATGGTCCCACTGAGGGAGAAACGAATATGTAATTGTAAACATTAGAAAACTAATTCTGTTGATATATAGGAAACTAATTCCAGTTTTTAGATGCTTTTGGCTCTATCTTTTAGAAACTAATTCCAGTTTTTAGATGCTTTTTGGCTCTATCTTTTAGTCTATGAATCATTAGATTAATGTGTATCGTGGCATCTTGAAAGAGTTTGTGTTTAATACATTGTCTATGTCATAGGTTGAATGAAATGGAAATAAACAAAAACGAAATGCAGCTTGCAATATTTGTTGGAGGCCCTTTGGTCGGCAATTTCATGCGTGTTGGTTATTTATATTATTTGGCAATATTTTGGTTTTAACTCAATGGCTAGAATTTGGGGCAAGGGGTGAAATCTGTCGATCCCCAAAGCAAGGGTGAAATCTATAGATCCCCAACTTGAAATTGTCCATAGTTTGTTTTATTTTTTAGTTAGTATTCCTTTTTAAACTTCAATGTAAAAAAGATATTCATGATCTTGTTTTTTACCATTCTAATTTATTTGTCGTGGAACTTTGTATTATCTGGCACAAGTATATTTGTGGTTGTGTTTTAAGATTTCCGTTTATGCGTTTTGGTTCTCTGCATTATTTGACAATATTTCAGTTTTAAACTCTATGATTAGACTTTGGAGCAAAGGGTAAAATATGTCGATCCCTAATGATGTGTTCATTTTAAAATCCTCATAATTTTGTTGACTTTAGGGATTGGTGTTTCTTTAATATTTTTAAGCATAAGAGTATGTTTTACTTGGTTTTTTTATATATCAATGTTTCCATCTGGGTTGTTTGATTATCTGTTATAACGTGGTCTTAATTCAATGAATGGATTTTGGGGTCTGGGGTGAAATTGTAAATTATAGTCCTAAAAAACTCGTGCATTTTTTTTGTCCCAATTGGTACTTTTTTATTTTTATAGTTGATATTTTTTGTTAGGTTTTTAATCCTAAGGAGATTCATTATTATGGTTTTTCCAGGTATTGGTTTTTCTTTTTGGGTTATGTTCTTTTTCTTGGACAACTTGTGGTAAAATTTACTGTTTAGAATTTGGGGGCAAGGGTGAAATCAATTGATCACCATCTTGAAATTTCCAAAGTTTGTTTTATTTTTTAGTTAGTATTCCTTTATAAATTTTAAGGTAAAAAAGATTTGCATGGACGAGTTTTTTAACATTCTAATTTATTTGGCGTGGTACTTTGTATTATGTGGCACAAGTATATTCGTGGTCGTGTTTTAAGATTTCCGTTTATGCGTTTTGGTTCTCTGCATTATTTGACAATATTTCGGTTTTTAACTCTATGATTAGATTTTGGGGCAATGGGTGAAATCTGCGATCCCCAATGATCTGTTCATTTTAAAATCCTCATAATTTTGTTGACTTTAGGGATTGGTGTTTCTTTAAGATTTTTAACTATGAGTTTGTTTAACTTGGTTTTTTTATGTATCAATGTTTCCATCTTGATGATTTGTATTATCTGTTATAACGGGGTCTTAATTCAATGACTGGATTTTGGGGTCAGGGTTGAAATCCTTATATCCCAATTTAGTAGTTGATATTATTTCTCTGTCAGTTGTTTGATTCAAAATGATGCATAATTTAATTGGTCTAATTGTATATTAATATTATAGTCCTAAAAAGCTGGTGCATTTTTACTGGCCCAATTGGTACTTTTTTATAGTTTGTTTTATTTCTTAGTTAGTATTCTTTTTTAAAATTAAAGGTAGAAAAGATATTCATGGTCGAGTTTTTTAACATTCTAATCTATTTGTCATGGTACTTTGCATTGTCTAGCACAAGTATATTCGTGGTTGTTTTTCAAGATTTCCGTTTATATGTTTTAGTTCTCTGTATTATTGACAATTTTTCGATTTTTAACTCTATGATTAGACTTTGGGGCAAGGGGTGAAATCTGTCGATCCCTAATGATCTGTTGATTTTAAATTCCTCATAATTTTGTTGACTTTAGGGATATGTGTTTCTTTAAGATTTTTAAGCATGAGAGTATGCTTAACTTGGTTGTTTTATGTATCAATGTTTCCATCTTGATTGTTTGTATTATCTGTTGTAACAGGGTATGAATTCAATGACTGGGTTTTGGGGTCAGGGGTGATATCCTTATATCCCCATTTAGTAGTTGATATTATTTCTTCTGTCAGTTGTTTGATTCAAAATGATATATAATTTAGTTGGTCTAATTGTATATTTATATCATAGTCCTAAAAAACGTGCGTTTTTTATTGCCCAGTTGGTACTTTTTTATTTATGAAGTTGATATTTTTTGTTAGGTTTTTAATCCTAAGGAGATTCGTTACTATGGTTTTTCGAGGTACTAATTTATCATTTTTTATTATGTGTTTTATTCTGGACAACTTGTGGTTATATTTATTGATTAGAATTTGGGTGCAAGGGTTAAATCTATAGATCCCCATCTTGAAATTTCCATAGTTTTTTTTTTTTTTGTTAGAATTATTTTTTAAATTTTAATAAAAAAAAGATATTCATGGCCGAGTTTTTTAACATTCTAATTTATTTGTCGTGTTACCTTGTATTATCTTTCACAGGTATATTCGTCGTCGTGTTTTAACATTTCCGTTTGTGCGTTTTGATTTTCTGCATTATTTGACAATATTTCGGTTTTTAACTCTATGATTAGACTTTGGGGAAAAGGGTGAAATCTGTCAATCCTTAATGATCTGTTCATTTTAAAATCCTCATAATTTTGTTGACTTTAGGGATTGGTGTTTCTTTAAGATTTTTAAGCATGAGAGTATGTTTAACTTTGTTTTTTTATGTATTAATGTTTCTATCTTGATTGTTTGTTTTATCCGTTGTAACGGGGTCTTAATTCAATGACAGGATTTTGGGGTCACGCGTGAAATCCTTATATCCCCATTTAGTAGTTGATATTATTTCTCTTGTCTGTTGCTTGATTCAAAGTGAAACATAATTTAAATTATCTAATTGTATATTTATGTTATAGTCCTAAAAGCCTCGTGCAGTTTTGTTTGCCCAATTGGTTCTTTTTTATTTCTATAGGTGATATTTTTTGTTAGGTTTATAATCCTAAGCAGTTTCGTTACTATGGTTTTTCCAGGTATTAATTTATCTTTTTTGGTTATGTGTATTGTCTTGGACAACTTGTGGTGAAATTTATTGATTAGAATTTGGTGGCAAGGGCGAAATCTATAGATCCCCATCTTGAAGTTTCCATAGTTTGCATTATTTTTTTGTTAGAATTCCTTTGTAAGTTTTAATGTAAAAAAGATATTCATGGCCGAGTTTTTTAACATTCTAATTTATTGGTTGTGGTACTTTGTATTATCTAGAATAAGTATATTTGTGGTCGTATTTTAAGATTTCCGTTTATGCGTTATGGTTCTCTGCATTATTTGACAATATTTCGGTTTTTAACTTTATGATTAGACTTTGGGGCAAAGGGTGAAATCTGTCATTCCCTAATGCTTTGTTCATTTAAAATCCTCATAATTTGGTTGACTATAGGGATTGGTGTTTCTTAAAGATTTTTAAGCATGAGTGTATGCTTAACTTGGTTTTTTTATGTTTCAATGTTTCCATCTTGATGGTTTGTATTATCTGTTATAACGGGGTCTTAATTCAATGACTGGATTTTGGGGTCAGGGTTGAAATCCTTATATCCCGATTTAGTAGTTTATATTATTTTTTCTGTCAGTTGTTTGATTCAAATGATACATAATTTATATGTTCTAATTGTATATTTATATTATAGTCCTAAAAATTTGGTGCATTTTTGTTGGCCTAATTGGTTCTTTTTTTTTTCAGTGGTTGATATTTTTTGTTAAGTTTCTTAATCATACGGAGGTCCATTACTATTGTTTTTCCAGATATTAGTATATCTTTTTTTCTTATGGGTATTGCCTTGGACAACTCGTGGTTAAATTTATTGATTAGAATTTGGGGGTAAATGTGAAATCTATAGATCCCCATCTTGAAATTTACATAGTTTGATTTATTTTTTAGTTAGTAGTCCTTTTTAAATTTTAAGGAAGAAAAGATATTCATGGCCTAGTTTTTTAACATTCTAATTTATTTGTCGTGGTACTTTTTATTATCTGGCACAAATATATTCGTGGTTGTATTTTAATATTTCCGTTTATTCGTTTTGGTTCTCTACATTATTTTACAATATTTCGGTTTTTAACTCTATGATTAGACTTTGGGGCAAAGGGTGAAATATGTCGATCCCTAATGATCTGTTCATTTTAAAATCCTCGTAAT